TATTTATATATATATATATATATATATATATATATATATATATATATATATATATATATATATATATATATATTTTTTATATATATATATATATATATATATATATATATATATATATATATATATATATATATATATTATATATATTCATTTCTAATAACGTATATATATATATATATATATATATATATATATATATATATTAATATATATATATATATTATATATATTCATTTATAATAACGTATATATATATACATATATATATATACAGTTGAAGTCAGAATTATTAGCCCCCTTTTTATTTTTTCCCCAATTTCTGTTTAACTGAGAGAAGATTCTTTCAAAACATTTATAAACATAAAAGTTTTAATAACTCATCTCTAATAACTGGTTTATTTTATCTTTGCCATGACGACAGTAAATAATATTTGACTAGATATTTTTCAAGACACTTCTATACAGCTTAAAGTGACATTTAAAGGCTTAACTATGTTAATTAGGTTAACTAGGCAGGTTAGGGTAATTAAGCAAGTTATTGTATAATGATGGTTTGTTCTGTAGACTATCGAAACAAAATATAGCTTAAAGGGGCTAATAATATTGTCCTTAAAATGGTGTTTAAAAAATTAATAACTGCATTTATTCTAGCTCAAATAAAACAAATAAGACTTTCTCCAGAAGAAAAAATATTATCCGACATACTGTGAAAGTTTCCTTGCTCTGTTAAACATCATTTGGGAAATATTTAAAAAAGGGAAAAAAATGCAATGGGGGCTAATAATTCTGACTTCAACTGTATATACACATACATACACACATATAATTGTTAATATCTTCATATTTATTATTATATAGCAGATATTAAAAGATGAAAAAGAATCGAACACATTAATATTTTTATCAGAAAACTCATTTCTAAAGGTGGTGATGACCTGAAATATCAGCACTTACTCCTTGAGTCATTGCTATTACACAACTTTCAAAACTCACACAGTTTCAATTTCAATTTACTAGAACTTTTATGTTAAGCTGCTTTGACACAATCTACATTTTAAAAGTGCTTTAGAAATAAAGATTAATTGAATTAAATACTAACTTTTATTTTTATGTTTGAATTATTTGGGTTTTACCGAAATCTGGGTCTATTTCATGCCAATATATAATATATTTACCAGAAAATACCATGAGGTGAATTTTTGCATATTAGTATTTACAGATATTAGTATATGTTTGCACAATTATCTGAATGAATATGTGTGTGTGTGTGTGTGTGTGTGTGTGTGTGTGTGTGTAATTTAATCCAGACATGTTCTTGGCAGCTCTCATCACATTTTCTTCACCTCGTTGGCTTATGTTACTTGTAGAATAGGCATGAGCATGTTTGTTTCATTCAGTTCAGTTTTTCTGTCTGCTTTTGCTCATGTTTTGTTGTGTTTGTCTATATATTCTCTAGTGAACTGTTCTGCAAAAACAATAACACAGAAGTCTTGGGCCCAGGGGACACACTGAAGTTCCCTCAACTCGCGAAAACTCTGGAAACCATTGCCAAAGAAGGAGCAGATGCCTTCTACTCTGGAAAAATAGCCAAGGATTTGATACAGGATATACAAGCTAGAAGTACGGATAGTTTATAAACACACTGCACTTGGTGTAATCAAACCAGAAAAAAATATGTAGATTTTTTTTGTCAGGTGTGCTTGTTCAGTTTACATACATGTGTTTTTTCTTCTTCTTCAGATGGAGCATTATCATTAGATGATCTGAAGAATTTTAAGGTCAGAGTCAGTGACCCGTGGACTGTAGATTTGGGGGAATATAAGATGCACTTCCCTCCTCCACCAGCAGGAGGAGCGATACTCAGCTTCATCCTCAAACTAATGCACGGTATGCTACATATTCAGACTTGGATTTGCAAGCTGAGACACAGTGCACTTAATTAAGCTAGTGACATCACTGTGAGGAGTAGGATCAAGGGTGGTGTTAGGTGTGCGCATTAAAAAGCATTGCATGCAGCTCACCTTGTAACTGGGGAGAGGGGGGGGCGAAGCAGTGGTGCAGTAGGTAGTGCTGTCGCCTCAAAGCAAGAAGCCTCAGCTCAGTTGGTGTTTCTGTGTGGAGTTTGCATGTTCTCCCTGCGTTCGCGTGGGTTTCCTCTGAGTGCTCCGGTTTCCCCCACAGTCCAAAGACATGCAGGTACAGGTGAATTGGGTAGGCTAAATTGTCCATAGTGTATGAGTGTGTGTGTGAATGTGTGTGTGTGGATGTTTCACAGAGATGGGTTGCGGCTGGAAGGGCATCTGCTGCGTAAAAACTTGCTGGATAAGTTGGTGGTTCATTCCGCTGTGGTGACCCCTGATTAATAAAGGGACTAAGCCGACAAGAAAATGAATGAATGAATGAATGCTTAAAGGGGCTAATAATTTTGTCCTTAAAAAGGGTGTTTAGAAAATTAAAAACTGCTTTTATTTTAGCCGAAATAAAACAAATAAGACTTTCTTCAGAGGAAAAAATATTATCAGACATACTGTGAAAATTTCCTTGCCCTGTTAAACATAATTTGGGAAATATTAAAAAAAAAAGAAAAAATTCAAAGAGGGGCTAATAATTCTGACTTCAACTGTGGATGGATGGACGGATAGACGGACGGATGTAGATAGATAGATAGATAGATAGATAGATAGATAGATAGATAGATAGATAGATAGATAGATAGATAGATAGATAGATAGATAGATAGATAGATATTATGATGATATTATATTATTATTCCCAATATTATGATGTATCATTACTCATTTAATCATACTACAAATGGGCACAATAATTATTTTTCAAAATACTATATAGTAGGGATGTAACGGTATCAGAATTTCACGGTACGGTAATACCTCGGTATGAATGTCACGGTACGGTATTTATTAAATCATTTACAGGAAAAAACAAAACTTATGAAAATACTCCAAAAAAGTGCCAAAAGTGTCAATGACATACAAATTAGCCATCTATCTGTAAGCTTTGAAACAGGAGCTTCAATTTTAATAACAAAAAATTATTAAACCATGTAAAAAAATAAAGTTTCAATTTAGTATTGTTGAAAACTCATCACATTCAACATTTAATCACTCACTCACTTAGTTAGAGATGGGTTTAAAGGAAAATTATCATATAAATATAATCTGGTAAAAGCTGGGATCTCTGGGCATTTACAATGTCCCCTGCAACAGAAAAAACAGAAAAAACCCTCTCATTTGGGACTGAGGTTTCTGGGACAAGAGAGATATGACTTGGCCCAGGTTGACAGCAGTGGGTAACGTGCATTGTCTTTCCCCCACTTGAGAGGACAAGCCATGAGTGAGATAGAGGTCTCATGTCTGTATCAATCTGAACAGTGTGCTGACAACACCCTCCGTCCCACCCTTCAGTAGGCGCGCGACAACACCGCTCTTGAGTATGCGCGCTCAACCCCCCCTCCCCGCTTTACAGTATGCGCGCGACAACACAGCTGATCAGAACGCGCGCAACAACACCGCTATTCAGTACGCGCGCGACAACACAGCTGATCAGAACGCGCGCGACAACACCGCTATTCAGTACGCGTGCGGCGACAACACCCGCTTCAGGTTCGATCATTTCCAGCTCTTTTTGATCCCCACTTCTAGCAGCACACTCCATTTCCGCATTACTGGATCTGTAGCGACAACAGACCGCAAGGGATGATGGCCACCCCTGGGCTGATGGGAATTGTAGTTTTCGCTACCTCCCGTTCGCTTCATTCGCCTGAGCAAATTTTCTCAGAAGACCTATAGTTTTACCGAGTCATGCGACTACGGTAATATCGAAAAAAATTAATATTGCGGTATGACGGTATTTACAATACCGTTACATCCCTACTATATAGGATAAATTATAGTAAATTGGGTCTAACCACTTGTCTTATTTCCCAGCTGTGATCCATTAATATTCAAAATTTGTTTTCTTTTTATTCTCAGAGTTTGGCCTTTCTCCAGCCTCCATCCAAGGCGACCAGAAAAACTTGACTTTGCATCGGTATATAGAAGCGGTCAAGTTTGCAAACGGCCAGAGGCGTTTCCTTAAAGACCCCGAGTTCAACTCTGGAGATGTAAGCATTCAACTTTACTTAACATACTGCAGAGAGATCATATTAAAGAGGCCACGATATGCTATTTATTTCATTTAGAAAATGTCCACACAAACACAGGAATTTAAAAAAAAAAGTTCTTTAAATATATTTCTGTCTACATGAAAAAGCAAAATGCACTGTGATGCATGTTAAGTGCACTCCGAACACCCAGGTGGCAATAACTAGAGATTGTTGACATGAAACTGACATTTCGACAGTTTTGAGATCCCTGTGTCTGAAGCCGCATACTTTCATACAATACAGTATGCTAAAATCATTAAAATCAGCCGAGTAGTATGTCAGAAATCATAGAATTCGAAAATCAGTATGCAAGACATACCCGGATGACTTACTACTTCTTGCGAGATTCTGAAGTGCGCATCTCATGCATGCTGCGCTATCCCATGATGCCCTGCGAGAGAATTTATGAATGGGAGTGAAGCAGCGCAACTGACGCAGGTAGGTCACATGACCATGACGAAATGAGATGTAATAAATCCGAATTCCGTTCATACTGTATAGAACACATTTTTCTAACGGCAATTCAAAGCATCATACATTTCAGAAGCGTTTTAACAAGACATTTATTCACAAAGTGTTTAAACGGATGTCATACCAATGTTAAAACAAAACATGTTACGAGAACAGAGCATTTCAAAATAACGTCTATAGCTGCATCACGCTCGATTCGAAACCACAGTCTCTGCATGCTAGTCAGAAATTCTCACCACTTCTCTAAACTGTGGTTCTCAAAGTGGGGATCGGGACAATGAAGGGGGGGGGGGTCTATTTATTTTTATTAAACCATAAAAATTAATATATTTTATCCGCCTACTAAAAAGAAAAACAATAGTCCTTTATAGTTACTATATACTACATCAGGGGTGACCAACCCTGTTCCTGGAGATCGACCTTCCTGCAGATTTTAGTTGCAACCCATATCAAACACACCTGCCTTTAATTATCAAGTGCTGTTCAGGTCTTAATTAATTGGTTCAGGTGTGTTTGATCAGGGTTGGAGCTGAAGGTCGATCTCCAGGAACAGGATTGAGCACCACTGTACTATGTAGTTACTATAGTAGCTCACTAGTTTTATTGGATTGTGACCCCTGGGGTAATTACATTATATTAAAGACACAGCAATAGCGTCAGATACAGCAGATTGATTTTATAACACCAGGTTAAACTTTGACACATTTACAGCACTCGCATAAAAAAATTAAATAGACTAGAATAGACTTGGGTCTGTTGGTGTGTGCGCCATTGCATGCAAGGTTTCTGTATTTATAACCACGTCAGAGATATTGGGGGTCGCGAGTCACTGGCATTGTTATTTTGGGGGTCGTGGGCTGAAAAGATTGGGAACCCCTGCTCTAAACCACTTGAAACCTTAATTCTACAGTGAGGGGATACAACTCCTTTATTTGCGTAACTGTTTCTTTGCTGAAGCTGTTCCAAAGCAATATATGAAGAATGACCACTAAGTGTCACTGTAGAGACGCGTTTCAAAATATTTCGAAGCTTTAGCCCCTTTCACACAGTGATACCGGTAAATATCCGGAAAATTTACGGAACGACTTTACCGGTAAATTCAAAAAAGCGCTGTTCACACAGGCGAGGACGTTACGGAATTTTTCCAAAAAAAGACCGTTCACACATCCATTCCAAAATACCGGTAAATTCTGACATCATTAACCAGAAATGACCTCTTAACGGCTGCACTTGTGTTTGTAAACATTTGACTACATCACAAACTCTGTGAATGGAGTATTGTGAAACAATAACAACGGCTTATCATAAGCATTATCTGACTGATTTCTAGCAGCTAAATGTGTCTGGAAAAATATTCAAAGGCTTTTATTCTCATAAACCGCGCGGGCGTGAATGCGTCTGGCTGTTCTGATTGGCTAAAGTAGACGTCTCACGTCAGCACGTTCTAGGAGAGGGTGCTCGCTGCAGAGCCATTTGAGGAGAGCTGAGCTCCAGCGAGGGGGAGCATGAGCTGTCGCTCCTCCTCCTGTAAGCTGTTTTAA